ATGTGGGTCAGACAGGAAAAACACTGCAGCTCAGAATCAAACAACATAAGTATAATATCAGAACTGCATCCGAAAGCAGTGCCTTGTTCGTTCATGTTAGGAATAATAATCACCCCATTGGCGGAAAAAGCGAAGTATTCAAATCATCTTGTGTCACAGAAAGACTTCTGGTTGAAGCTAGTTTGATTAAGGAATTAAAATCAATAAACCTTAGTGATGGTCAGTTCAAAACTGATAATATGTTACATAAATTTATTTGTCAGTGGCCCAAGGTTAAAAATGCTTTGAAAACCTTTGATCTTGATGTGTGACAGTTATTTTGTGAGTCCCTTTTTTCTGACCTGACCTGTCTAGTCACGTCACCACCCCTCTCCTAAGCTCCTCTACGGTTGTGTTGGTGTGGGGATTAGTGGATGTCATCATTATGACCTGACCTCATGTTTTTAGGTCACCCTGTATATTTAAGCCTCTCTCTGTCCATGTAATCCAGTTGCCTCTGAAGATGTCTTGAATAAAGACGAAAGCTAAGGTACTCCGTTGTTTCCATTTTCCCGTGTGATTTTATCAAGATTTATATCTATATATATATATATATATATATATATATATATATATATATATATATATATATATATATATATATATATATATATATAAAGAGAGAGAGAGAGAGAGAGAGAGACACATATTGTTAAAAAGAATCTCAGGCACAATGACAAGTTTGGCAAGGCTTCACAAAAGTCCCATTTGACAATAAACTTCAGGAACTGCAAGACTGTCCATTTATTTGCTTCTTCAGGTGTGATTTTGGCAGCCTTCATGTGTCTGCGAAGTCGCATAATTTCTACCATGACATCCTAATCAGAAATTTCATTAAAAATCTTGGTCATGCTTGAATTTTAAATACTCCCCTGAAGTTGTTCTTCTTTTGCAGAAAGCAAGTAGCTTGGCTGAATAGCTGCAAATATTGACAAAATGTTATCCATGGCCTCTGAACGAGCATCCAATTCTAGACTAAATCGATCTAAGCATTCAAACATTGATCTTCTCATTTCCTCTTGCAATGTCAGTCCAGCACCCCTAGCCATCTCTCCTGGCATCATTTTCTTACGTCTTATCCTTCCTCTTGTTTCCTTGGAGATGCCCATTTCTTCACATTGTGTAGTTGCATATTGAATCGCTCTCTCCATAATTTCATTCCGCTGACCTCGAAGAAACAATTTCAAACCATAGAGCTTTACAGTGCACTTTTCAAGACTTATTCCTTCTGTTTGCAAATACTTCTGTGTGAGATTCACTTCTTCTAGTACATCACACTAAAAAGAAAGATAACCCAAAAGTAAGGGAAGGCGGGGCCGGGGGAGCAGTTATGTCATGCGCATTCGATTAATTTGTACGTTTTCTTTGTTCTGTGAATTTAAAAAATGAGATGGATGAAGGGGCAATTAAATTGAATGACGAAATTTTCGCACTGATAACTCGTAAGTTGTACTTAGATTTGTCAAAAAAAAAGGCTACAGAGGACAGATATTTATTTATTTATGAGCTTCATGGCACCCCCCTCTGGCTGTCACCCGGGGCGGACCGACCCCTCCCCCCCCTTAGTACGCCACTGTGATATTTCTCTCACAGAGAGATAAATATCACAACATTAAGGAATAATCTATTAATTTCAACTTTTAGTGAAATTCACACAGTATCATCCCGTATTTTAATTGTATTTGGAACAGAGAGTGGGACGAATATTTAATACGAGGCAATGATGGGTTAGTGGCAACACCTCAGTGGCACTGTGGCCAGTAAGACTCAGTGTTGTCCCACAAGCAGGAGGAGACGGTAGCTGTCTCGCGTTCTACCCACCTCCAGTCTTCCACATCCACCTTACCATTACCGCCACACAGTGTAGGAAACTCCAGCAGGTTTCTTCTACCACACACCTCAGGTGACATATATTGTGTGTTCTGTGTAACTTGTCGGTGTCAAATTTAGGGGAGCCTCACGTTTCAGTCTTCAAGATTTCGGCAAACAATCTACAACATAATTATCTTACCTGTTGACTCGCTCTCCATAAAGCTTGTAGTACAGTTTGCTTATTCTGAGTAATCCAGTCAGGTCTTGGCACTGAGGGTGATATCACTTCTCATTGCCACGCAGGACAGAGGTTCGTATAAACAAATACATCATATTCATTGACAGTACACAAAGATATGCATTATATTCATTAGCAGCGGCGTGCGGCTAAGAGGATACAGCGCTCATTTCCAGATCTAAGGGAATTATGTTTTAGGCACACTAGAGCAGCGATTTTCAATTCAACTAATGTGCCGTGGCACATTAGTGTGCCGCAGGTGTGCCGTGGGAGTTTGATTAGCATTTGGATGGCATTTAAAAAAATAGCATTTGGATACGTTTTGACATTACTGGTATGGAGCGCATTAAACTCCTTTTTTTCAATGATGCAATAAATAAACAAATGTGTTGTTCATTAAAAGCCCAAAGGGCAGTTTTAAATTCTCTCCTTAATTCCGTAGTGTAGATCCGCCGATCAAATCTATCCTTAAATACTGATGGTGTACCTCGACCTGGCTTGTGACATTTATTGAAATATTGTACTTTAATGTTGCAGGATAGACACAGCCGTCAAAACAAACTTAACTAACACTGGTTTTCTCTTGGTTTCTACTTGCAGGATGGACGAGGAACAGTTCAAAGCCGCCTCAAGGGATATGACCGAGTACATTACTAACTATATCACCAACATAAGGGACAGGTTGAGTTTCTATTATACAATTTTGTTCTCCAAATAGTTTCTAATATTAATATGGTTCTCTGGTGGTTTCTGATAGTTACGAAGTGTATTGGTGTTTCTTCGTAAGTGTTTTATTGTTTTTTATAGTTCTGCTCTAATGGTTTATAAGTTAGTTTTTGTAGTTCTAGTATAGTTACGTTCTCTTATAGTTTATATTCCAGGATAAGAGGTAGATTCGTTTTCTAGTGGCTTCTTATAAAAATTCTTTGGTATATAATATTGTTTTTGTTGTCTGGTAGCTTCTAGTAGTTTATTTTTTTGGTTTCTAATCGTTTGTTGATGTTTGGTTTAACAGTTTTGTTATGTGTAGTTACCAAAAAAGGTCTATTTTATAGTAAATTTTAATTTAAAATTTCTCTTCGTTCCTGTATCAACATCAGGTATACTTAGGGGGGGGGGGTTCTAAAAGTTTTGTATTCTAATCATATTAATAAAATTTTAATTGGTTTCTAATGTACTTTTATTTTATAGTTTTGTCTACTGGGCATTGTAATGCTACCAATCTCACAGAAGAAGATTACATATAGGTAGAATATTGATAGTATAAGAGTATAAAGAGAGGAAGATTTTGGTAGCGTGGCCGTGATAGTTATTTACTCTTATCGTACACTGGTCGTGTCTTACACGTCAATACACATCTATCACGTTCTTAAAGGCGACTTCTCAAACACTGCTTCGTTACAACTCTTTATTAATCACGAACATGACATGGACACATTAATAACACCTTCTATTGAAGTTACTAGGACATTATATTTACGTTACTAGGACATCATATTACGTTACTAGACACTCTGATTCTCGGACACGAACATGAAATGAATACACTTCCCACGTAGGTAACTCATCCCATGGAAAGCTCTGACAAACACTCACGTGACCTAGGGGAGGCCTAGCAGGTAGTCCTGGGTTGTCTCTATGGGAGACTGCTTAGCTGGGCGCCGGAGGGAAGCCTCGGTCCTGACCGGAGGCGACTTGCCTCCGGCCCTTGACTTCTCTCGAGCAGGCCTGGTGGTGTAGTAGCTGGCCACCTTGTTACAAGACAACTCTCTCTCTGCGAATCCCTGAGGGAGGACCAGGACGTCCTATATATTGGGATGCGAGCCGTCAGGTTCAGCTGGCCGGGGGGGGCGGCGAAGGGTCTCCTTACATTTGACCTCGCAAATGTGCGGTCAGGCCTGGACTTTTTCAGAACTATCTGGGAAAGTCATCAGGTGGGGCCGTGTGTATATTGGGAGAGCAACCGTGAGAGTTCCCCTGCACTTGACTTCCCAAACGTCGGGTCAGACTGGAGTTTCTGAGATGTAAGGAGAAGTCATCAGGTGGGGCCGTGTGACACGAGAGGCCCTGGTTGATTTGTGGCCCCTTGAGTTGGGCTCCAAGGGTTACATTTGACCTGGCTAATTGTGAGGTCAGGTCCGGCCTTTGTTCAGAGAGTAGGTTATTGTATATTGGAAGAGGGTCGGCTGGTGCCTTCTTACATGTTTTGTTGGGGCCACATGTCACATGGGAGGGGAGCTAGGCTGATTTACCATCCCGGTCAACCGCAGAGTTACCCTATACTTGACCTCGGCTAATGTCGGGACAAGTCTGGCTTTCCTCGCGATGTAAGCTGTGGTCTGACAACCCCTCACTACAGCATAATTCAAGCGGTTTCTGATATTATTTTTATCTATAGTTATTTCTAAACCAGTATTTATATTTTCATGGGGTTTCAGATTGTTTTCTCCTTTCTTTTGGTTTCATACAACTTAATAAAATTTTTGTAATTGATGTCTATAATAGGAAATGGACCATTCTCTGGTGGTGGTTTCTCTTTCAGGTCTGTTTTCTAATGGTTTCTATGCCACATCCCTGTACTACTCAATAACTTGCCGCTGCCCTTAATCACGTTAAGATTAATTTAAGTCGGGCTGTGTTCAGTGTTTGCTGGAGAAGATCATTACCTACACGTGTTCTATACAGGTGGTTGGCTTTTTTTATTCTCTTCGTCCTGGTCAGCTCGTTACCCCGTCGGGCCACCGATCTGTTCTCTAAAGCCCCGTTCACACTATCGGACAGTGACTGGCGGACTGTGCCCTCACCGGGCACAGTCTGTCGGGCATGACTGTGATGTTGTCCACACTGCTGAGTTGGTGGTTGTAGGTTATGTATATAAGCTACTGTGCCGAGTAGCAACCCTGTATATAAGCTACTGTGCCGAGTAGCAACCCTGTATATAAGCTACTGTGCCGAGTAGCATTTATATATATTATCACGTGGCAACACTGCACGTTATGTGGCAACATTGCCCCGAGGCTGCCATATGGCAAGGCAGCCTCAGTCTGACTGTGTGAGCCGTGCATGGCGCACGCTAGTCACCACTTGTATTTCTCTCATCCATAATAAACGGACTTCAGTGTTACACGGTGTTTCCCTACCCATCACTGCATTCCTCAGGGAACACTTTTAACCATCATGGCGCAGTGATTGGGATCTGTGGACTTACAAGTGTGTAAACAATGCCGAGACAGTTACGTCTGCCGGTGATGCGTCGACTCATAGTGTGTTGTGTTGTGTTGCGCTGTGTTTCGCCGCGATGTGCAGTGTTGGGCCGTCACAGTGCGTTTTAGTGAAGGTGGCAGTGTTAGTGTCAGTGTATTAGTGTGTGTCTAGAGCTGAGAGTTGAGCATTGGCCTGTTTTTTTGTGGTACCCACGGAGCACGCAGGCGTACACCCTTCTCCTGTGACATCCCGGGAGACACTGACTGTCTCACTCCCGCTGCGTCTCTATCCACCGGCATTAAGGCCACCACAAAGTGCTCTCTCAGACACACACACACACGCACGCACTCGCTCACGGACAGAACAGTGGACGCTATGCGTATTTCTGCGCTGTTTATGTCATATATATGTGGTTCGAGCTGTTGAGGCGCCACTTTATATTCTAAACAGTGCAATCCACGCACACACTAAGATGGGAGGTAAGAAGGGACGTCAAGATGGGAGACACGACTCCCCACCACCTTCCCCTCCACCGGGCGCAGACTCTCATCCTCCACCTCCAGTGACGGACATTGCCACAATTCTGAGGTGGATGGACGACCGGGACGAGCTACGTAGAGAGATGGAATTTCAGAGGGAGGAGACATGAAGAGAGGAGGAAAAATTGCGTTTTGAGGCACTATTGGCGACCCTGGCGCTAACCCACCCTCCCTCACTCGCAGGTAGCGCGCATATAGGCGCCAGTACCCTCCCTCCTCCACCACACCAGCGTCCCCCAGGTACTCTTGCCTCCAAACAAACAGCTCCCAAGGTATCTGTTCAACCCCCACCCGCCCTCTCACCAGACGTCATGTTTCAGCTTTTTCGTGAGTGGAGGCGGCGTTGGACAGATTACTCCACGATGGTGGACCTTGACAGCATGCCTCCAAACAAACAGCTCATCCAACTGCGGATGTGTTTGTCGCTGGAGACCCAGAGAGTTTTGGAGCACACGTTGCAAGTGCCTCCCGATTCTACCTCTTCAGTGACGGATGTGCTCGACCTTTTACAGGAGCATGTTAAGGGTAGGAATAACGAGGCTTTGCGTCGCCCTGCCTTCACCAGCTGCAAGCAGGCAGAGAACGAATCCTTTGACGACTTTTTTGTACGCTTGAAGAGTTTGTCAGAGGAGATCGACGTCTGCAAGGCGCACAGCCGGGAATGTGAGGAAGCCTGGATCAAGCACGGGATCTTGACAGGTGTCAGGCAGGAAGAGTTGGTGCAGCGACTCATCCCCCCTGGACGCTTCCTCCACACTCCAGGTGGTAGTGACTGAATGTCGGTCGTACGAGGCCACCAAGTCCGCCACCTCTGCCTTACGGGCCCCACCTGCTGTGATAGCTATCTCACAATACAAGAAGGGTAAGAAGGCGGCCAACAACGCGAAGGCTGCCACACGTTCTTCCACGCCTCCGCCTAGTGCTTCCTGTGGCAGCTGTGGAAAGCAGCATGGCCCCAAGACATGCCCGGCCGCCGACGCACTGTGTCGTGGATGTGACCGTAAGGGCCACTGGTCTAACACAGACAGGTGCCCTGCACGAGGCCGCAAGTGTCAGGCCTGTGGTCGCAATGGACACTACGACAAGTGCTGCCGCCAACCCAAGCCCAAAAGCCCGAGACGAGGAGGAAAGCAGCGCACTTCCCTTGGGGTGGTTCACACGCAGCCCCCTCCAGATGGCCCACGCAGCCCCAAGCAGCAGCGGAGTCACATCAAGAGGGTGGAATCGACCACACGCCCCAGGGCTAACCCTTCCCCTACTATCTGCGTCGCCGTCACACACGGTGATGTGTCGGGTCATATCGAGGTGATACCGGACACCGGCGCCGATACTACGGTGATTAGGTTGAAGCACCTCCAGAAACTGGGCCTCACCAAACGCGGCCTGGGACCACCGCCGCAGCTGCAGTACTACAATGCGGACGGTTCCCAGATGCCGGACGCTGTGGGCTCCTTTCAAGCAGAGATCACCTACGGCGACAGGTCGTGTCACGGATGGATCGACGTGCAGCCTACTCTCGCTACACCCTTGTTGTCGTGGGAGCACTGCAAGGAGTTAGGCGTGGTGTCCAGAGACTTTCCTGAGCAGATCCCAGCTGCTTGGTACACCGCCAGCAGGGTGCGGGAATCAACGAGCGACGCGCCTGGCGCTGCCGCACAGAGCTGCCCAGAACCCGCGTCCACTCCCGCCTCCACCCAAGTCACGGCTGCTTCCTCTTCACAGCGAGACGTCTCCTTCAGCTGCAAGGGCCTACTTCCTGAAGGAGTACTCGGATGTGCTGGTGACGAAGGAGGCCTTACGGACCGCGCCACTGAAGGCTATGGCGGGTCCGCCTATGAGGATACACCTGCGGGAAGATGCACAGCCGTTTGCCATACACACTCCCCAGTTGATTCCTCTCGCCTTCAGGGATTCAGTCAAGAAGGAACTGGATTCCAT